TGTTTTTTGATTTGTGTGTAGAGTTCTGAGAGTATGAGGCATGCTTTCAGAAAATGTGTGTAAACAATCGAGAAAAACTGTAATAATCACCTGCACACATGCTCCCTGTAATCATACAGACTGCCAGTTCCCTTTGTGGGCAGTGTAGAGCAGAGTGGAACAGTGTTAACTGATCACTGCCATCTGGTGGTGATTCAACACACAGGTAAAAATGAAAAGAAGAAAGTGTTTTCTTGTTTTCGGCTTGAAATGTTTAATCTAATAAACAAGAAAAACAAACCAAACCAAAAAACAAAATTTGTCAAGCATTTATAAAATTGAAAATTGAAGGGAAATCACTGTTAATCAGAGATAACACCACGGAAAATTCAAGAACAGCTTCTAAATATACTTTGATTGTTTTATCAACTACTGTTTCCGAGTCCAAGAATTAACTTGACTTCATTTGAGACTTTAGACTTGAACTGGACGTAAAAGTCCAAATTCATAGTTGTTAATGTTAGTAGTTCTTGCAAACAGGTGGCTTTTTGTCCGTATAATGGAGTTATATTAATAATAATAATAAAACTTTATTTGATAAATGATAAGAAATAGTGTATAAACCACACTCAGCTTACAAGACCAGGTGGCTATAATGTCACTTGACTTATCGTCAGTGCCATGGTCGGCATTCAGAGGTCATATTGTACCTAAGTCACTTCCTCTGTACTATATGTGTGTGTGTGCGTGTGTGTGTGAGTGTGAGTGTGTGAGTGTGCTCTCATAGGATTATCTCTCGTTTTGTCTTAAAGGTTACATTAGCCGTGTTTTCTGAGGGCGTGGGATGCTTTATGACTGAAACCTTTAATTAAGGTATTTGAAAACAAACCCACATGTTGGAAGTTCTCCAGAGATTTACATGCATGAGACAACTAATTGAAATTAAGTGAATCATTATAAAGGTCACAATGCTGCCCACTTACGGTAGCTCAAGAATCTCTTTATTAGACAACGCCTCAGTTGGTCCTTAGTTTACTTGTTGAGCTTTTTGTGGCTTACCAGCTTTGTGTGGTTTGTAATGACTTTGTAATGTATCCAAAATCCTCCTGTTATCAGATAAAAGTTCATTTAAAACACAAACACCCCCAAGTCTATAGCACTGAGGGCTTTTTTTTGGTGAAACTGAGCTCACAACAGCCTCATTACTAAATAAATAAAGTACGAGTATGTATAATCTATGTATGTGTAAATATATATGTGGGTGAGAGGGAAGATTACAACATTTTGAACACTGCCTGCTGCATTCAACTTGACATTTTATGTACATTTGCTTTCATTTTATGACATTTATTCAGCAGCGGAGCTAGAGAAATATTCAAGGGTTGGCATGGAAACTGTAAGTGGTGGCAGAAATATATGCTGATTTAATAGCAAACAATCACGTTTATCAATATTTGCTTGAAAAAGATTAAGACATTTTAACTCAAAAACATCACATTACTGTGGCACACATACACCTTAAAGTATTGGATATAAATATCTAAAGGTGGCATTATACATCATTAAATTGTTTTATTTCCAAATCTTTTTTTTTGGAAATAAAACATTTTGCTAAATTCTTTTTTTTTCAATATCTAAATCTAAATTAGAAACTTCAATTTGACATAATCTGACACCAAATTGGGGTGGCCAGGCATGTTTTATGGCTGGTAGCTGTGTGTATGCATATAGTGGAGCTGAATAAATGAACTTCACGATACACACACATATTACAAACACTGGAACATCTGTTTCAACATTGCAGAGCTCGGGGCGCTTGGTGCTGTCAACTGAATCAAATACAGTTTCCTGAAGAAGTCTGTGTGTCAGAGAGAGAGTATTTAAAGCTTTAATTTTGTGTATAAAGCAAAAAATTATTTTGCCAATCAATAATTTATCAATCTTGCTAGAAGTCAAGAATCATCATATTTGTTATTTTCATGTTTGAATGTTTCTAATTTCACGTTTTGTTTGTACAATGGCATGAATTTTGAGATCCAAGACATCCTTTCTGTTGTGACGTCAGCGTGAACAATCAGAATTCATTGACTTTAGACTGACATTTGTCATGCGGGTCACTTCAGTAAATGGTAATGGTAAATGGACCTGTACTTGTATGTAGCCTTAGTCTTCCGACCACTCAAAGCACTTTTACACTATGTGCCACATTCACCCTTTCACACACATTCAAAGTCCATCGAAAAGAAACTAAGTCATTCATACACATTAATACATTGATGCACAGCATCAGGAACAATTCAGAGTTCAGTATCTTGCTCAAGGATACTCTGACATGTGGCAGGAGGAGCCGAGGATCGAACCAACAACCTTCCGATTAGGGGACGACTGTTGGATTTAAATGTGTCTGTTTGTCTATAAGTAAATCTAAAAGTGTGTATTTGTGGCCTGTTTTAAGGATATTGAGTAGTAGGCTGAGAACCACAGACAAGGTAGGGAAAATGTCATTTAAACAAAAGCTATTATTATTATTAATATTATCATTATACAATTAGGAGGTTCTTAACTTTGACATTGATATTAAAGTTATCAGATATTGTTTTCACAAAATCAAGATTTCATTTCATGATTCAGCAGAACTGAATGTGTATATTGTATCTGTGTGACAAAATCACAGCCTGAAGTTCAGGTCTGTCCGCAATCCAAAGCATCTTTAAAATGACATTTAGCACTTGAAGAAGTACATATCTGGGTGTGTTCCCATTTTCACTCCACTTTTCTGTAGTGCAGCGAAACTCACCATCTAATAAAAACAGATTAACACGCACACAAAATATGTAATTCATAAACGTGCAAGTAAGCATGGTGGTAGCATCCGTCAGTAAACTCTGCTTAGGTGAGCCTTAAAGGTTTCAATTTCTGAACACATCTGAGGAGTTTAATGGATTATTAGCAGACTCTTGGATTCACTTTTTTTTTACTGCATTCAGCAGTGGCTGGATTAACATTAGAGTTTCTGTGGCCTGCATCAGCTAAAGCTCCACTGGAGATATATTATGAATAATATATCTCTTCTCTTCATAATTTGATTTAATAAAACTTACTCCATAGCCTCTGATGAGATACTGTTATTATGTTTGTATTTTTTGGAAAGACCATCACATGTAATGTTGTCGTATACAATGTGACGGTTGTATAATGTGTGAAATATGTTACATAATAAAATAATAAGGTGAAAAACAGAAAGATGCCTCTGAGTAATACAGCGAGGAATGTTAATCACTGATGAACATGACTAATCAGCATCGTAAAAGCCATAAGAACACTTTTATTTCCTTGTTAACCTTAGAGGCCAGAGTGTTCTCAGTTTTGTAATCTGTAAATAAAATGTAAAGGCCCAGTGATTAACACTTAGGAGAATCTATTCGCAGAACGAAATTTAATATAATGTAGTTTTTAATTAGTTTATTATCACCTGAATAAAGGAATAGTTATGTTTTTATATCATTTTAAATCTAGATATTTAATCACCATAATTCTACAGTAGAAACAAATCAAACACTGGATCTAGATAAGGGAGTTCAAGTTTTCACGACCACCGTGGTTTCTCCTACATGCTTGCTAGGGGAGTTTAAACATGAAATTATAAATTACTTTTTGGAAAAGAAACGAAAGTATAAAATGTGAGTCACTTTGACCCTGTTTGGTTGTTCACCTGCAGCAACACACACGTTCTGGGTGTTGCCATTTAATGATGGGCTGAATGAGACAGTGACTGTCATGACGATGGAATCTGAATACATCGTTATTTACAACAATTTACCAACAATCAATCAGAGTGCTCACATCAGTCAGAAACATGGAGGAAGACAGGAGCTTGCCCAAGTGAGTGGAATCTTTTTTAATTGAACAATTGACGCTATTAATCTATTATTTTATATAGCTGTTATTACTGATATAAATCATTTATTTATTAGGTAATAATCAAAGGAAGACTATTATTATTATCAATTATGCAGGGATGGGATATTTTTATAAATTGATTTCTTTATTGGAAGAAAAGCTTTCTTGAAAAACAAGAGAATAGATTATTATTATTTGTATGTATTATTCAGTTGTTCTTTCTTTTAAAGTGTGCAAATCAGTTCAAGAAGATGTGTTTTTTAGCTGAAGAATTTCTGGTTTTGATTGTTGACAAGATTTACAAATATATGAGCACCTGTTAATTTCTATCTGATTCAGTCCAGCTATACTACTTTTGTGAGGCTTATAATGTTCAATTTATGTGGACACTGTGTCAGAGTAACAATTAAGTCATTTTCTATAGCATCTATAATACATTTACACACTTATTAAAAAAAAAAAAAGCAACGTCCTCATTTTTTCCTTATGCTGTGATGTATTCTGTAAGCTGCTATAGATCATATTGTTGTATTGGAAAGTTTTTTTATTCATGATACATATGTATAAAGCTAAACATTTAGCGTTTATTTTCTACCTGTTTTTATACCTAAATGTATGTTATCAGTTTATATATCCACACCTGCCTTTCACGATACCTGCCAATATGTAATCTAATATATATCTAATTTACAATCCTCCTACTCTTTACCCAACAAGTTATTTTCCTAGAAACATGCCACCACTTCTCTCTACGTCCTACCTAACTAACAACCTTCCTATCCACCTCGTTCCTGCCTTCGTGCAGATCTCTCTCTCTCTATGTTCCACCAATATAATTTTCTACCTGCAGTCACCATCAGAGTTTGACATTTTGATGTCTTTAACCAGGAGGCCGTGGGACACCTGCCGAGAGATCCCCGTCATTGAAGATGAACAGACACCATGGAAACTGATTAAACTACTGAAGGCTATCAGTCTCTGTGTAGTTGCTGTGACTGTGTTTGGATTGGCTCTATGTAGCAAGGTTTGTTTCTATATACATTAACATTAAACTATACTGTGCATTTCTTACATGGACTATAAAGGGATAATGCTCTTCAAAGTGTCCATTAACAGGAAATGCACAATGTGGAGGTCAGAACAGTTGCCTCTGAATTTCTGATTCACTAACCCCTAATGACGATAAGGAATTACAATGGTTTATTGCATATTATGTATGAAGGTGAACCAAGATAATGTACTGTAGGAGCAATGAGGAAAAAGGGATGAGGGTTGAGGGATGGAGGTATGGGTGTGCTTAAGTACTTTTTGTGCGTGCAAGTTCAAGGCGTGGTCTTTATCCCCGAACCTAGTTATAAAACTTTATTTATGGACACCTCGAAGGCCATTATGCTTCTTATACCATGGTCACTTGCCAAAGAGAAAAAATTAAGACTATAAATTTATATTTTTATGTCAAATCTAAAGTTTTTCACAACTTTGTTTCCTTTGGCTCAGCTACTTGCCCAAAGCTAGTGTTGTGCTAGCAAGAATCAAAGTCAATAACATTGCGTATGGTTAACAAACAGGAAATATCATTTGTTATATATCAATATCTTTTTTACACAAAAACAAGATTAGTCAGCAGTATTTATCCAGGTATATCTTTCCCTACAGCATCTTTAACACATTTATTTTGATGACTTCAGATGACAAAATTCCCAAGACTACTGCCAATCTAAGCTTTAAAGGTTTAAAAGTTAACTCAGTTATTTCATCTCAAATCTTTAAGGGGTATTGAGACAAAGTTTCAAAGTAAACTCTTTTATCTTTCTGTCCAGGCTTCGTTCCTCCTCCTCATCACCTTGTCCAATGAAGGCACCAAGACCCTCCCAGCTGAGCATAAACCTGTCTCTCTGCTGTGTATCGGCTGCTCTCTCATCGCGTCCAGTGTGCTTCTCTTGCAAAAGAGCATCTGGAAGGCATGTTATAAATCCTCAAAGATGCCGGCCAAAACGACAATGGCTTTGGTGAGAAACCTGATAAGATTTCTTAACTCTCCCACCTTTTTGATTGATACCTTGAAGGATGTATATACCAGTGACTGTCGCTGCTCAATTTTCACTAATTCAAAAATCTTCTATTTGTCACAGAAAACGTTTTTGAATCCATCAAGCTAAACCTAATTTGATATGGTGAGCCAGGCCAATACCAAGAGTCAGACTTGGTCAGATAAGGCACAGTTACCTGAAATGTTGTCTTTAAAATATGTTTTTAGTTAAATGCTAAATTCTAAAATGCCTCTTCACTTTCAGTACACTTACCAGGAACGGAACTCTTCTAGGAAAATGTTGTCAATGTATTGTTCTTCTCCTATGCTAGCTGCTATGGTAGTAGTGTAAATACACCTCCCAATGTCCTACGAGCTCCCTAGCACTGTGTTAAGAGCGAAGGTCCTGATACTCTGAAAGCAGAACTGATGCTTAAAGAGGAAATCTCTCATAAGATGGTAAAAAATTTGTGTTCGATGTATTATCAATGTTCTACTTCTCTTTTTCAGGTTCTGTTCTTTGAGTTCATCGTGTCTCTGGGTGCAGCGATTCTCACAATCGTAGCAATGCCACACTTGGACATCGTGACCAACATGACGATACTGAACGGTGTAGTCGTCCTCTCTGCGCTCCTACAGGTGGTCACTCAGTGCACTGCCAAAGAAAGGAACCGCTTCCTGGCACCATCCATCACTGCCTTTATCCTGATTATGCTCGGTTACGTCCTGTTCCTCACCTTATACATTATGAAAGATCCTACTGGAATCAAGAGGGGCATTTGGGTGGGTCTGGCTGTTGGTGGGGCTTTCTTGGTGTCTTTCAATTGGTGGGAGAACTACTTGAGACTCATCAGCGAAAACAGCAGCTCTGTCTTCCTCAAAGAGTTGTGTAAAGATGTGAGAAGGAGCCAAAACATGCTGCACATCCTCTCCAGCCTGCTCAGGATCGTGGTGACCGCCTGTGTGCTCGGAGCCTATGTCCCTCTGGCCAAAATGGACTGGGACATAGTGACCTCCATCCCGAGGCGTGAGACAAGAATTATAGCCATCATCATTGGGGTCCAGTTGGTCTCCTCTGCACTCTGCCACTGGTTTGCTGTGGCCGCCTGCAAGATGCACGCCCTGCGACGATGCTTCATCCTGCCTTTGTACCTGGCCTCTCTGGCTGTCATGGCTCTGCTCATCATCCCTGTTATCGTTTACTATCAGGACTACAGAATAAGTCTGAACGGGACTGAAAGCATCAACTTCACAGGCTACTGCAATGTAGTTGTGGATGGAAGAAACCAAAGCTTGAACGGCAGTGTGTTCCCACATCTGGTTCTGGATGTTACACACACTCTGTGCTTCCTGGACATGTCCAAGATAACTGACATTGGCATGCTGACAGGTAATAAAAAATCGGCTACAGTGTGACACTATACTATACATTAAGAGATAGCTCACATTTTGCTGTACAATATGTTTTTTTATTCATCTGAATTAGTATTAGTATTTGTGGAGAGTTTGATGCAAGTTATTTAGGCAAACGTCCTATTTTGGCATAAAACATATTGAGACACATTTACCTCTTCTAAAGGTTCAGCAGTGTCCTGGTGGCTCGGTCTTGTGTTGGCCACTGTCCACCTCTGGAACCTCAGTCTGTATCGCATCCAGAGGACACAAGACCTGTTCATCAGGAGGCTGTATGAAGGAGGATTTATGGAGCAGTCACTGCTTCTAAATGCTCGATTTGACATCCAGACGAATGAGAAGCAAAAGAAGTAAGTGTGTGTTTGTGTGTGTGTGCGTGTTTCTTGGGAAGATCAGGAAAACTCTACAAAGTTCGTTTCAAGTTTGGACAAACAGTTCATGTATGATTAGTTTAGGTTTCTGAGTTCAAAATCTGGGTTAGACTGGGAAAATAATCCCATTAAGCAGTGGTACAGGCATCAACTCTTCCTCCTGGGTGTTTTTTGTTTCAGTCATTCTTTCTTTCTTGTTCTTGTTCTTCCATGACTCATTTATATGTATATATAAATAATATCTTCCAAAAACATGATGATCATCATGTGTTCAAAAAATACTAAGCTTACTCAGTCACTTTATGGGTGAAACTTGAGTTTGTTTTTATGAATGGAGTTCTTGGTCAACTGTTATCGGTCTTTCTCATCTTAAAAAAAAGAACACTAAAAATATCTACTTAATGTTCTTTATTTTGCATACACCTTTTATCTTTAATTTTAAGGTTTTAAATATGCGTATCAACAACAGGTTGACAAATGGTAATTTAAGTTTAAAAAAATGTCTGTAGACAAGGGCTGCAATTATGAAGCTCCATAATTAATGTTGAACGAAAAATATTCATGGGCTTCTGCCAACAAAAAGAGACAATGTGATGTGATTAAAACCTGTTAAAATCTGTAGTGTCTGTATATATATAATCTGTAGAAGTGTATGGATCAGTGAACAATAGGTATGCAAAACACTAAGGTGTGTCCAAAAAGATTATCCGTACTGTGGTGCAGAAGGTTTAGTAGTGTGAGGTCATGATAAGGAAGCTCAGAGAAGCATGTGTAGGTGTGGGATTACTGTCAGTGTCTCAATGTAAAGACATTTCTCAAAATTGATTTCCAGATTCAGGCCACTAGACCCGGTGAAAGTGTTCCTGTGTGCCACCATGTGGCATGAAACTTACGACGAGATGATGAAGATAATAATTTCAATATTTCGGTAAGTTTCACATTGCAAGTTAGCAACCACAGAAACAAGCTATTGGGAAATTTACCCATGTTTTTCCCACTTTTAGCAAAAGAAATTTATTGAGTAGTTATTGAGTAGATTGGTTATCACAATGACATGCATGTAAGTAGACTGTTTTTTTAGTCTTTAGTCTGAAACCAGCCAATACACAGGATTATAAGAACTATCTGAACTACCACTGGCTGTCTTCATTATTATCCCAATGTTTCTGATCACTGTGGTTACATTGTACAGCAGCAACTACAGAGGAAGTATGTAGTTTGTTTTGTGGTTTTTGGTCAGCGGGACTAATATGTAGATAACTAGTAGATATAAAAGCATGGCTGTCCATAGAATATTCCTCAACCATCTTGGATAGTACAGTTCAGTTTCATCAATCCTGAAAGTTCATAGAAATCATGGGCCATATTGGTGGATTTTAGCAAAATAAAATCGTGGTGGAATTTCCTTTTGATTATGAACACCAGTATCATCACAGTAGCTTTATGTGATTCTTGTCACTTCCCAGACTGGACAAGTACAGGCCAAAGAAGGAAGGAGAAACAAGTGATGTGACTTTTGAAGGCCACATCTACTTCGACGATGCCTTCAGTGATGTTCCCGGGAGTCGAGGGCGCCACGTCAACGAATATGCAGAGATGCTTGTAGAAATTATCCGAGAAGTTTACAGGTGAAAACTGTGAAACTCAAGGTTGACAGTTCAACAAATGATGAAGATCTCACAGGTTATCCCTCTCTCATCCTCTGTCATCAGTATTTTCCTGAACCTCGATAAAGACGTCTTCAAAAAGCAGCAGCAGATCCCTGATCAGAAGATCGTGAGGACGCCGTACGGAGGACGTGTAGTGGTCAACATGCCTCATGGAAACAGCCTGATGATTCACTTCAAAGACAAGCAACTCATCCGACACAAGAAGAGATGGTCTCAGGTGGGAGTTTGATGACTATCTGGCTCAAACATTTTGTAGCTTTAAAACATCAGTCAGCTCTCAAATATGTAGGTTCCTGGCTTTTCCTCTATTGTCAGTGAGACATTGGCTTTTGATAGTATTACTTGGTATACTTGTACGAACATTACATTTGAATGAATATTCTTATTTATCAAATTAAAATGAATACTGCATTTTTCATCTCTGCAGTGAGATAATGTAATTTCAAATATTTGTATATCTATGTATATCCAACATAAACCTGGTGAATTAGAGAAACATAATGCCAAATTTGTACAAAACCTTTGCAGAGTGGTAGTATTGTTATTTGTAACTCAAAGATGCGTGTCAGAGTTTGTTTGCTAAATAGTATTTCATATTTTCCAGGTCATGTACTTGTACTATCTCCTGGGCTGGAAAATTACAACCAGCTACTACAAAAGGTGGGAGAAAGGAGAGGATGAGGCTGAGCTGAAAAGAGAGCTTCAGGTGAGATGAGAGGAAACGCTTTCATGCACACAGGAGCCAGTGAAGACATACACACCAACATACAGTACATTCACAGTGTATATATATGAAAAGATTTAAATGTAAAACAGAGAAAACTGTGCGTATTCCCCCAGAAAGAGAAGCACAACACCTACCTCCTGGCTTTAGATGGAGACACAGACTTCCAGCCGGCTGCTGTGATGTTGCTCATCGATCGTCTGAAACTGTATCCGCTTGTCGGGGCAGCATGTGGCAGGATTCACCCCACTGGATCAGGTTGGTCAAAAACAGGGACTGGAAACAGATAAAGCATGTCAACCCAGCATCTAATCGTCCAACTGGATGTAGTAAGGGTTCATGTAGTTTAGGTTAAACAGAGGACTATGAATTGTACTCTACAATAACCTATTTCCAAAGTTAATTCATGCATTCCAATGCAAGACCACACTGCATGATTACAGTATATTGTCAGTGAAAGACTGTACTGTAATGCATAGACAAATACACAGGTTTATGTAATGACACTGCTGTATTTCCCTGCTAGGTCCCATGGTGTGGTACCAGAAGTTTGAATACGCGGTGGGCCACTGGCTTCACAAGACAGCAGAGCATGTGTTTGGCTGCGTGCTGTGCAGCCCGGGCTGCTTCAGTCTGTTCAGAGCAGCAGCGCTGATGGATGACAATGTGATGAAAAGATACACCGTCAAGGCCACAAAGGCTAAACACCACATCCAGTACGACCAAGGTAACCGAAAACTCACAGGAGCAGTCGCTCAAATAGAAGCTTTATACTGTAGCATTCTACATGGAATAAGTTGTACGTACCGTGCAGTATATCCCATGTAATGTGGTATATGCTTGTCAGGTGTTAGCACAATAGCTTGCATAACAGTTATCAACTGAGAAATATCAATTAACTCTCAGTAGTGTCTTTAGCACAAACCAAGCTGTTTAAGTGTTCTGATATTGGTTCAACAAGGTAAGACATTTCATAAGAAACATATTTTTTTTAGTAAGGCACAAGTAACAATACATAAATATTCATGCAAACTATTTAGCACCTCCTGTCCACTGTTCCTTTGCATGCTTGAAGGCTCAGATGAAGACCAATTGACTGCTCCTACAGTTACTGAAAGGTTTTCTATGATGTCTCTGCAGGTGAGGACCGCTGGCTGTGCACTCTTCTGCTGAAGCAGGGATGGAGAGTGGAGTACAACGCAGCCTCTGATGCCTACACCAACGCCCCGGAGGAGTTCAAAGAGTTCTACAACCAGGTCATCACCAAGAACCACTTTAAACATTTTGCAATTCAAAGGACACTGAACCAGAAAACATGCTGGTTGTTTGACTGAAACTACACCAATCTACAGAAAGCTAGATTTCAACAACGTGGATGTTATGTCTAATATTTCAGCGTCGGCGATGGGGACCGTCCACCATGGCCAACACTGTGGACTTGCTCGGCTCTGGCACCATTGTTACCAAGAGGAACCCCTCAATGTCCAAACCCTACATGTTCTACCAGCTCTTCAGCTTGGTCTCGTCCATTCTGGCACCTTCCACCGTCATCCTTATGATTGCAGGTCAGGCTTGTTTGGGGCTTATTTTTCTGCCAAATAAAAAAGCTCAGCAGGATCTCAATGGAAATGAGTTAAAGCTCAGTTCTAATATACTATTATGTCCAGTGTGTAAAATTCTACAGTAGCCTAGAACGGACAAACCAAATACTGGGTATAGGTTGATCTAGAGTTTGTGTTTTATACAAGTGTTTTTCTTTTGTTTCTCCTACACACTTGGAAGGCTGAGCTGTAGTCAAATGGTTGCATCTGCAACTTCACCAGTAGAGGCCACTAAATCCTACACACTTAAAAGTATTTCTTCCAGAACAGGTGCTTGTTACAAAGGACTAGACAGCAGTCTAGTCCACTGCATTAATATTTTTCTCCAAAGTTAAAATGTATAACCTTATTCAAATGTTTATCTGATTATCAAGTTAAAATCAATTAATTATTAAATGATTGAAGACATCTGACCTACATCTGAATGAATTATTTCACTTTCAGTATGATGCAGGGAAATTCAAGTGATAATCATGGTGACTTTACTGTGTGTTTGTTAAAGCAGTTATTTTGTTTGCTTCCCATCCACCATTCAGGTAGCTTGACAGTGTTGCTTGACATTCACCCCAACATCGCTCTGGTCCTGTCTTTGATACCTCCGGCTATCTTCCTCGGTATCAGCTTCAGGATCAAATCAGACACTCAGATCCTAATTGCAGCAGTCTTGAGCATCCTGTACGCCTTCCTCATGATGATAGCAGCACTTTCCATAATTGGTATGTTAGACACAAACTTGACAAAGCCCCTTAATACTAAAGTGTTTCTGTCCTCTAAGTTTCATTTTCCATTTGTTTATCCTCCATCAGGCAACATGGTGAAAGACAAAACCATCATGACTCCCAGCAGCCTCTTCCTCATCACCCTTGCCGCCTTTTACCTCCTTACTGCACTCATGCATCCTCAGGAGGTTGGCCTGGTGTGCTTCGGCTTGCTGTACATCCTCTGCATCCCCAGCGCCTATATGCTGCTGGCTATTTACTCCATGACCAACATGAACAACGTGTCCTGGGGCACCAGGGAGACAGCGCCTGCTCCTGCAGCTCCTGGAGCTCCTGGAGCCGCCGCCCCACAACCCCAAGTCCAGAAAGGTAGAGACTAGTTTAACCTTAAAAAATGACTAGAAACTAAAAGACTAAAAGATTACTGAGATTATTGTGCATGCATTTTGAGAAAGTCAGTTATTTAAATCTTTTACATTTTGAGCCACACTGGGCTGATTATTGATCATTTTTGATAAGATGGTGTCAATCAGTACTTAAGGTCTGCATCAATCATGCCCTCTTTGACCCTTTCCCATTCCCTAATTTTAAACTACTACTTAAACTATTTATCATTTTATGTTTATGACTTGCACTAAAACTGATGCTTACTCTTGCAGCCAAAACCACATTTGCACAGTTCTTCACACGGTCCAAATGCTGTAGACAACTCTGTCGGAGAGGAAGCGAAGAAGAGCTCAGCAGCGTGGTGGCACCAGAGCCTCAACTTCAACCCCAAAACACTATTGTGGAGGATGTGAGGAGTCCTGCGCAGGAGCAGAGGTAAGATCTGAAGGAACATTGATTGCAGGGTTTGTATCATATTATGACTGACTAGAGAAACATGTAAAAAGCCTAATGTATACTGAGCTGTCAGTATGAAGTATTATATAGTACATTGATTAAATATATATAAACTGGTTTGTCAATAAATGTTATTTCTTACTATGTTTCAGGCAAATGGTGCCTGCTTTCACCTGCCCTAACCAGTGTAAGTCCTTATATGAGGGAATTTAGCAAAAATAAGCTGAAAATCAGTTGCAGAAGGTGATGATTCAGAAACTTTAATGTGCTCTTTTCTGCAGGTTGGGTCACACAACTGCAGAGTTTGTCTGATGACATGCGCCTGCAGGAGGATTCCCTCGACCAGGTGTGAATATCCCATTTTATAACTCGGCGTAATTAAAGTAATGTTCTGCACTTTTACCTTTAAATTCGGTCAGACATTATCAGACATCAGGCCAAATGTAATGTTTTTGATCTAATGAGGCAGGACAAACACTTATCTTCCTTATTTAATAATTATGTCAAATGAAAATACAATTAAATTAGGTGTTTTTTTCTTTTAAATGGAACGTCACGATGACATTTGTGCAGTTATTGTCCTTATTTGCTGTGTTTTAGTATGAAAAGATATTCATAGTATAAAATCCGTCAAACTACATCAGAATTGGGGATTTTGGCAAATTCAGTTCTTTACTGTTCCACTGGTACACACATAACAGTACAACAATAAAATTCACACAAAGATGCATTTTGTATTGAATTGGATCAAATAAATGGCTAAGTGTGAGCGTAAAGGGCACAGGTGCAAGATAATCACCTTTTGTGAAAGTTAAGCATGTGTGTTGCACTAGCAGGGGCAAATTAAAATTGAAACCTGACGCAGCATGACAGAGAGTTCCTGTATTTTTCTGCAGGAGGAGGAGCAGTTCTTCAGAGAGATGACCACCAAGTACCTGGAGCCTCTGCCTGAGAACAAAAAGAAGCAGAAAAAAATGGCAGAGGAACTCAAGGATTTGAGAAACAAGGTGACTTTATGTCAGAGCGATGAACCTAATTACATGTTTGTGAAATCCTTTGATGATGTTTGTGCATGATGTGTCTTAATTAAGTTGTCAAATAAGTAACAATAGAACATGAATCCTTTCTTTCTCTCCTCACATACAGATCACCTTCGTCTACTTTATTTGCAACGCCTTCTGGCTCGTAGCGACCTTCGCCCTGCAGCTCTTAGGGACGTCCATCTTCATCCAGGTGCCGAAGGTGGACATCAACCTGCAGTTCACTGGAGAGTACATGTACATCGACCCTCTGGGCTTCATGTTCATCCTGGCCTTTGCCTTGCTGGTTCTCATCCAGTTCATAGCCATGGTGTACCACAGGTAACCAATCACCTGTCAGATCAATGTTCCTGATGTAGATAGATCACTTTGTTGAACTCTCTTGTTCTGTGTTTTTTTCAGAATATACACCCTGATCCATTTCGTGGCCTTTCTGGATACAGAGTCCATATCTGAAAAACAAAAACAACAAGAGTCACAGGTACGTACGACTGCTATACTGCCACTGTTGCTTCTGCCACCACTACTGTTATTACCACTGCTACTATGGTTGGTGCTAGTAAATGTATTATTATGTAATAATATATAATATATAATAATATATCTATAAAAATACAACATATCAGACAAAGTCAGGGATATAACAACAATAAAGTCTGGGACTTATTTCCATCCTCGTCCCTGGTTTAGTCGGAGACAGACACAGCTGTTAACTTTACTCTGAGAGACCCAGAATTGCATCTGGTGTTACATTATACATCGGCCCTCAGTCATAACCAAAGCTAAGGCTTTTCAAAATAAAGTATGAAGATGATGATGGAAATGATGGCAGCAAACCAATTTTAAAAATATCTCTTGTTTGAGCCATAACAGCATAACCATTGACTTTTGTGTAAGTAGTGTAAGTAGTTCATCACACCTTCTTAAAAAGGAGGGAGGCAATTAATTCCCACCCCAACTGTTGCTGCTTATATTGATAATAATAAATCTAAATATTAAACTAATCAAATTGAAAGAACATATCTGCTCTCAGAGTGCTTTAGCGCTGTGTTTCAGTCCTAATGTCCTGAACACACGGTGCAACCTCCCCATTGTTAGAAATGTTTCCTGAGTGACACACTCAGTATTTGCATGTAATTTATGTCGAGTTTTTTTAATGTGTCAGCTGAAATGCACCAGCCACAATATTTAAAATAAATGATTGAAGCTTAACGCGTCACACCCCACCCTTCTAATACTACGCTTCAACTGGAAAAATGATTGGCAAGTCATTAGTGCAAAGCTGTTGTAGGTGTGGCAGTGCGGCGTCGGTGTAATACTCATCATCTGAATTCTTTATAGGTCACAGATGATGAAGTGGATGACAGTGACGAAATCATGTTTCCAGGTCTGCTCAAAAGAAGTCACAACCATGGAACTCTGGTGTGAACAAGGATGAACTGAAACACAACCAGAACCTGTTGAAACAACCTTGTACTGTATGTGACATTTAAAAGAACTTTATGTTATTTTGTGGATATTTATAAAACCTTTTTAACACTCATAAAACAAGCACAACACAACTTCATAAAGGGTGTGTGTGTGTGGGTTGTGTGGGTGTGTGCGGGAATGAAATAACCAGCCAACCCCAAAGCAATAAATTAAATACTGTTATTGACCTACAGCTAGATAACACGGTGTATCACTGTCACTTCATCTGAAAAAGCTGAATTTATTTCTTGTATCAGTTCTGCTTCTGCGTTGACATTTCACTGTCAGTGCGACACAATATGAAGGTAAAGCTACAACTTTATGAAGGTTTAGGATGGACAATGTGAAGAAGACATTTTTAACTTGTCAATGTTCACTTAAATCACTTTAATCTTGATGTTATTATTATTGAAAGTGTTTTTAAAGAATTCAATAGTTTGTAATGAAGGAAAATGGAGACTGACCTTACAGCCAAAAATGTTTGAACTCTGCTCTGATTATTTGTTTAACGCACATTTTATTTTCAATGCCGGAGAATTATCAAACACCTCTGATGAAACCATATTTCTGTCTGCTGTATGTCAAGTTTCTCTCTTATTCTTTTTACCTGTTTTAATAATTATTGATAATGATGATTTAGGTAAAGCTGAGACTAATATATATTTAAAATTAGTGACTTGTTCTCATTAAAGCACTTTATGATGAACTTCTCTAATCTAATATCGTCTTGAGTATTTATAAATCCCATTTATTGGTGTGTTTTATAATTTGAAATGTGTATTAAATATTGCTCTACATATAAATAATAAATATAAAATGATGACAATGAAGTAGAACAGCTGTAAAACAATGCTTTAACAATGGAGACAGAGTACATACGATTTTTTAATGTTTAATGTGTTACTGGTGGCAAAAACAAACCTTTAAATCTATACAAATAGTTTCTGATAATGTTTTCTTAGAATCAAATATGCAATTTATGCAAAAAGCAACATTTAAACCCAAGAAATGATGCATGGAGGGAGTGGACAGATATGGGACAGCGTTGTGAAAAAGTGGCCTTGACCCAACTGAACAGGCCCCTTCCTGCAGGGGTTGGGGCGACTCAAGAGGGGACCTGACCTTGCGACAGGCCAGCAACCTCCCACGGGTCTGAAGTAGGAGAAAGCAAGGACAGCCAGGAGGGAACAAATAAATAAAAAGTAAGTTCACAAACAGAGAAAGCTGGCCTAATCTGCCTGGGTTCCGCTCTGGCAGCGACTTCGTCCCCAGAGGCACGGCCAACGTACAGCTCATTTTTTCTTGTTTTATTTTTTATGTATTTCTCTATTTTTATTGTTATTCATTTTTTGTTCTTTTTTTATCTGTTGCTGTCAATACTCGTGTTGCCTTGCAATGTTTCATATGCCTTCAAATCCAAATGCACACAGGATGAATGTTTAGAATAAACAACTGACAGAGGTAGTAATCTTCCAGAGCTGAATCTGAAAGCTTTCTCTGTGCGTGGAAACAGGAGCCTGATAGAAAAAATATGATCCATATGATCGAGAATCTTTAATCAGTCTGGGTGTGTTTGAGCCAGCAGTCCACCACAACCTCCTCCCAACACAGACTTTCACTCACGCTTTATTTTTGGGGTTCGTGTGACAGGCATGTTTCACTACAATTTGTAAACTGTATGGACTAAACAACTAATCAGTAATCAGTAGTCTGAAGTGTTAAGAATATTTGCATAGAAATGTTTAAAAATGCTAAAGTTGAGCCAGTTTTGGGTAAATCAGCTGAGTTCATGAGTTGTTTGAAATGTTTGAACTGTCCTGAAACACAATGTAAAAACAAACAAGGAGGACTTTAACTTCTTGGGCCCTGGCAGCCTGATCTTTCCTGTGTACTTTGCTCCATTGTTGAGCTTCAATTAGGCCTATTGTATGTAAAGGTCAGTGTGCTGGTTTCAAATGTGCGCAAGAGTCTGTCCTTGTCTCTAATTACTGACTGTAGCTCTATAGACACAAAGACAATCACTGATTTCGTCATTTCACGGGATGTTTGATGTTTTGGAATTCTTTTGTTTTAATATGTCTCCCTATTACGTCTAACAAGAAGACAGTCGTGTTTTTAAGTGCTCAAAAACGTGTAATCTGATTGAAATAAAAGGAGGTGGAACGTTCCGGGTCAAAGAAATGATCAAAGCACTTTTTAGAAAATGTTTGCTATTTCCCCATGAACAGCTGCACTCATCTGAAGGAAACGAAAACACAAACATCCTCTGTGTATCCATGTATATTGTGAAGCTGCAGCTAAAAATATGAATAATTATTTAGTTATTAAATCACACGTGTATTGGATTGTGCAGCCTTAGTGGAGATGTGCTCTGAGTTCGCTTCATGTCTGAATTGAGTTCTAGACTGGAGGTGTGAATGTGTGTGTTGCCATGTATAGAAGCTGTAACCTACTCATTCATACACAGGTGGCAGTGTGTGCATGTGCAGTGTATCTGATAGCAGCATGGCTTGTCATCTGTCTATCCAATCTCTCTGTCTGTTTCAATGCAAATAGAAAACCCAAACAAACCTAAACCCTCCATAGCGGTACCAAAATGAGGATTCTGCTCCCCCTCCCAAACTAACCACCTGATCGCAGGGACCCCCCCTAAAGGCAGAGAGTGGTTTAGAGATGCTTCTGATGTATGCTTCAGTATGTCTGCAGCGAAGTGTTTTGAATTGTGGTTTCACAATATCTTGTATCAGATCCAGCTATAAAGAGAAAGGTCATATCCTCTTTTGCCTTTTTATCTGTCTGTTTATATCATCTCAAAGCTTTCAGCTTTACAGAGGAAGGACTAAGATAAACCAAAGCTTGATATTGCCATATGTTGGTGGACAAAATATTTTTTTTTATAAAAGTTTATCTTCATTTTACAGGTGTTAGTTAGAAGGCTGAGCTTCTATGTAGGCAGAAATTATGTCATTAGATAAGTTGAGCCTCAGTTGGCGAAGAAAAAAAAAGTAGTTGTTTTGCAGAGTAGAGTTTGTTTGTCAGTTTGCGTGTTATTTAACGTACGTGAGAGAATGAAATACAATCCAAGAGGTCCAGTTTGAGTAAAAGATTCATGTGTTTGAAGGTGTAGTGTGTTAAATGTAGGTGGATCTATTGGCAGAAATGGAATAGAATAATATAATACTCAGTATTCACTCCACAGGTTGCCTTCCATTTGGCTCTAGACAGGGCCGCTCATCGTAGTTTCTCCATCACACAAGGAGAGGGTGACGCAAGAGAGATGCAATCTGCAACTACTACTAAAATACTGTTTTTCTACCTGGAATGTGCATCAACTTGCCGGGTGATGTCGTATTGCATTACAGGCAACAACTGCTGAGCCTGGTTCAGCTTTCTTTCTAGAAGACTCTGTGTTGTTGCTGCAGCCCTTTTGCACCTGTGGATTGTGCATTCTTAAAAGAAAGGCAAAAGTTGGTCTGAATGTAGCCTTAGACGTAAATCAGGTGTGAAACTGTCAAATACTAGTGAGTCATAGACTGAATCTTTATTTATGAATCTTTCACACAGATAACACTCTTTATTATCCACCAACACTGTTACATTTGTAATAGCTTTTAGCAGTGGTGATGATGAACCTTTGCACAATTAAACAGTTTAACACAACTGTAATTTCTCCCAACTTGAAAAGCTTTTATTTTGTTTTACATTACAATATAATGTAATAATAGTATTTACAAAGATATATTATTGTGTTACAGAAATGTTACAGAAAACAGAAACAGTAGAACAAAGCTTACTATACTTCATTGCAGTGGATTTTAAATCATAGACTTACATCAGCATTTAACATGACGCTGCTGAACAAAATACCATAAAACCTACTTTTTTACCAGAACTGTGATTCAGGATAAACAGTCTGATTGCACAGACGTGAATCCTACTGATGTGTATGTAATCTACAAAGCAGCAGCTGTGTTATATGAGCTGGTTGCTAAGAAATGATGTTCATTGCACTGGTTGACCAGCTTATAGGCTTCTTTTTATTATCCATGTGTGCCATAAAACTCTGTTCCCTCTTCTGTACTAAGGTTACAGTTACACTCATAGCTGTCGAGACCCTTTCGAGCATTTCTGATGGTAGAAACCGAAAATATGCATAGAAACCAAGTGACAGATTATTTGAAATGGAGTGGTTACTGTTCAGTTTTGATTCTTCTATTCTTCAGTTTGACCCCTGAACACCAGACAGTGTCATGACTTAAGCCATTACAGGCGTTCCTTTTATAGTCTCACTTCCCTCTGCCTTTCTCGCTGTTCCTCCAGACTTATCACAGTTCCACTTTTCATCTGTGACTCCAATCACATGAAACATAAAGACTTGTGACTCTGATCCCAGTATATCAACATGTAACAGTTTGAGAACATTTATTCAATCAGTCTCTTCACTGCAAGATCAGATCAGTTTGGACAAATAAAGACAAACATAAAACAAAACCACATTGAATAAATATCTCCAAAACACTTAGTAACTTGCTTAGCTTGGGGATGATCTTGCATGCAAGAATGTACTGCAGTCTGAGAAGACTTACAGTAGTTTTTACATACAATAGAAAAAATATTCTCTCACATCTTCAAGGACCATACCAGTGGTTTTACATGTCTTTGCCAATAAAGTACAAATAGATAGAATTGTTGATAATGCTGCAAGTTCACTGCGAATGACAACTGACTGTTTCACCCCTCTTAAAAAGATGATAAAACAAAGCCCCCAATGATATAATCCCTAAAACCCTGAATTAAAGCAAAAAGCACAAACATTTGAAAGCTAGAAGAATCCTGTTTAGTCTGGCAAGACATCTTAAAGCATAAAGAACAACCAGAGTCACAGCTCTACTGAGCCATGTATTCCCTCAGCAAAGACTTCATGAGCTTCTTTAATGATTAAATAATAACTATTAAAGACAAAATTCATCACCTCCTGCCCTCTTAAGGTACCAATTTATTTTCAAACAACAGCTGTACAACCTCAGACTGCTCTTCTCCCACTGACCTTCTCCAACCAACTTCAGTTTTTTCTTCATTAAAGCCACTAAGCCGTCTCTTAGACCCCATCACAACTAGGCTGCTTAAAGAAGTTTTACCCTCATTTAGCATTCTTTACTAGATTTTCCCTGCCTGCAACTGCATTACCAATTAACTTTGACCCACATCTTGATATTTGTGATGCTATTGCGATGGAATATGCATCTCAAGTTTCAGATCTCATCAACGTTTGCACCTCATGGAAATTTCACACCTCAGATGAAAGAAACCAGTTTGCCCTTTTACTACCTCCCACTGTACATACCCCGATCTGCCACCACTGGAACTATTGCTATGAATTTGTTTATGAATATGAACATGCAATATAGGTGCAATGCACAACAGCGTTTACAGCTAACACCTTACAATCTCCAGGGTGTGAAAGAGTTACCTGAATGATTTTGAGCCGCCCAATCATTTTACTGTGACTTTGATGAGTTAAAACATAAAAAAAACACCAGTACGGTCCTTAAATGCTTACAGATGTGTTCATGAAACTCAGCTAGAGGCTCAAACCTTAGCTACATCCACTGCTGTCTGACTCCTTCCTGCCGCCGCAACCGTACTCGGTTTCGACACAGTGCTGTCATCCAGAGAGCGTTCATTGGACTGAGTCGTCGGTCCGTCCACGTCGTCCGCCAGAGCTCTCTTGTACACCCCCGCCAGACTCTGCCTGAACCGCCCCCGCACATCCAGCCCCATGCAGAAGTACAACAGCGGGTTCACACAGCTGTTAAAGTAGGCGATGCCCGACGCTATAGGGTGCCAGATCTTCACCACTATGTTCTTACTATCCACCATCTTCACCAGTAGGAGGCAGTGGTACGGCGCCCAGCACAGGAAGAATGCCACGACTAACGATGCTAATATACGTAGGGGGCGAGACTTCCCGGACAGGCGGGTGCGCCGAATGCCAACCCCGGCCAGGATGTAGCAGATGAGGATGACCATGAAGGGCAACAAGAAGCCACACAGGAAGCGGATGGAGTAGAGAGCCAGTTTTGCAGTGTTGTCCCCCTGCGCCGCCTCCTTCACATCCAGAGAGCATTTACTCAGGTTGTTCTTCCCCAGGTACACTTGGCGGTAGATGAAGTACGGAGTGCTGAAGATGATCGCAACGGCCCAGACGCAGGCAGCCACCACCCTCGCGGCCCACAGGGTGCGTCGTCGCTTGGTGAAGACAGGCTGCCAGATGCAGAGCGCTCGGTCCAAACTGATCACAGCCAACAAGAACACGGAGCAGAACATGTTGGCATATTTGAAGAAGCCGTTGAACTTGCAGAGGAAGATGCCGAAGGGCCAGTGGTCGAAGAAAAGCTTCTTCGTCAGGGAGAAAACCCGCGTGAAGCAGAAGATCAGGTCCGCTATGGCGAGATTCACCAGCCACACGTTGGTGACCTTTGGCTGAGGAGAAAGAAGAAGAGAAGAAAACAGAAGGAGAAAGAGAGAAGTGAATAAACAAGAAGGAAGGGAGAATTTCAGAGGAATTTTTACTATTTTACTCTCATACATATAGAAACCATAAAAGTTAGGGTTAAAAAAAAGTAGTGCTACAGTTTATCCCCCGAACAGCTTCAATCATAGCTTAGCAACCGTAATCAGGCGCAGCACATCTTTTAAGCTGTTGTATCTGTGTACATGGAGCTTTAATAAGAGAGACACTCGATATCTCAAGAGTTTTATTTTTTATTGTTATAGGTCTTGATTGAAGACTGTAACTGTATCAAAATGTCATCCTATAACCTTGTTGTGAACGACAATCAAATAACCTTGAATCCTTAAATTGTTGATTGTAATGCTGTATTGCTTTGTTGTTGATTGTATTGTTGTATTATTATTATTATTATTATTATTATTATTATTATTATTATTAAGGTTAAATTAAGGTTTTCATTTCTTTTTTGGTTTATACAATAAGAAAAATCTTACAAAATACAGTGGTGTATGACACTACTGTCAGTTTGATTTAATTTTACTTTGACTAACTCGATATAATTATGGAGCAAAATAAACAATATAGTGTGGTTTTTAGTGTCTGGTACAAATGTTGTTAATCAGTAATAGTAGGTAACAATACATAGAAATTAAAAGGACAATAAGCATTAGGGAATCATGTATTCCTTCCAAAAAAAAGTATTTGCAGCCCATTATACTCTGTATATCCACCTTGAGCTTGAATCCGGCCACCCAGATCACCACTGAGTTCCCTGTGATGCCGAGCACGACGGTCAGTGTGTAGAGGACAATGGAGACGTTGTCCATGATGGCGTCAATGTCCACTGTGGTTGCCTCGTCTTTCTTGGAAGAGACGCGAAGAGACGCATTGGGAAACATTGTGTGACTGGAAGACAGATAATACACGAACATCAAAACTTAACACCATATTACTTTTGTATATTGCATGAAAACTTAACCTGTCATATGATGGTCAAAGTGGAGCCTGACAATGGGTAAAACTTTGGATTGTGCACAGTTTAGTCATTCGTTCCCTTCAATTATCTAGTTATTCTCCCAAATAACGTTTGAGCACAAATTAACAAACCTGAGCAATGTTTTATATTTTATAAATGATTTTAAGGAATGCCAAAGTAGCATTGTGTTTAACAGCCAAATCCCCAAAGTATATTCACATACTGTATCTTAGTCAAACCTAAGCAGCACACTTAGATTTTCCATGATCAATATTAAAATATGGAAGCTAATGCTACAAATTTGAAGCAATAAATTAAATGGTTGGAGGACACAAATTGTTGATTTAAGTGGAGAATATGTGCACACAAGTTATTCATTTGTGCCAGTCAATGTGTTCTTTTTTCCTGTAGAAGGATTTCAAATCCTATTCTAGCATGAACAGAACCCCCCAGAAGTGCATCTGATCCAGTCTGTGAGCCAGACAGGTGAACAACCATCAGGGTATGTGGTACAATACTGATTACCTACAGTGTGTCAGTGGAATATGAAGAAGTTTTCTGTCATTGTTCTACACAGTGATGAAGAGACTAAATGCTGGTTCATAGTCAACAAAGTATGGTGTCTATGTTATAAATGCAGTTTGTGTTTTGGGTTACTTCCTCTTCCACAGACTACGCCCATGACGTCTTGGACTGTGACAGGCAAGAAACTAAACTCCACTACCCGACAGTCGAGATCAAGGAAAAACAATATAAGAGAGTCACAAGCTTTAAGAAATGGGTTCAGTGGCTCTTAAAGGAGTAAAAGTTTCTGATCACAAGCCTCAATCTTTATATGATGCTATGAAAATAGACATTGGACTGTATGAATGAACATGAGTGTGTGGACAAGTCAGATGTACCCAGCTGAGTCATTGTCTGAGAAGATGCCACCGTGTCTATTTACTGGCCACCGACTGCGTGAAAACAAGGTGATGCATTAAAATACAACTATGCACGTGGGTGAGTTAAAGTTCACACAAATGTACCTGTTACCTCTGTTGCAATGGAGACAACTGAGTGGCTATTTGGATAATTGTCAACCAGCATGTGAAGGTTAAAATTAATAAAACCTGCTTATGCAACAGGTCTACGTTAACATCCCAGGCCCTAAATAAACTAATTTACCTGAAGTTTGATCCAAAGATTAATATCAGTTTCATCTCTTTGTGTTCCAAAGAAGTGTTTTTATGGACTTAACTATATTTTTTGTACTTATTTTAACTAATTGCAGTGCAGGCTGCAGAGTTTCATTTATATAATACAAAGTATCTGTTATATCTTCAAGGTTACCAGTGGAACACACACAAGTCATTCAAGTGCTCAGTCAAATGGAAATAATATGACAAAGCACAACACAACAGCTACTAAATGAATCTTGTGTTTTCTCAAACTCTGGAATTAATAGGAAAAGGAGATTTTAAGAGCAGCTTTTCCTTTATTTAAGAAATATTGCAGGCCGTTCCAATCTCAACTAGATGCAGAAAAATTTGGGATTCCCTACACGAGGATAAGAGATGCAAGCGTCTTAGCAATCCTGCTCTTAGTTGCCAACTTCACACATCTTCACAACTGAACAAACTCCAGCTGATGTGTCGATGCACAGTATCAATGATTAACTTGCTATTAGCTTCTAACAGTGTTGAGGTTGCTTTTGACAGAGACTAGCAAATCAAGCCACCTTGAGCTGTATCTCTGAAGGTACAGAGATTCAAATTATGATCTTACATTTAATGAGATACGATGATCATTCATTTGATGTTAAAAGGCAAATAACCAAAAAATGTTTCATGCTCATATCTAATCTTTTTTGTCTTGGATACAGTCAAATATTTCCTAAAAAAAAATGCATTATTGACAAAAAACATATTTGGGGAATATTGCATGATGAAAATAAATTAATAAACAATCAGGTAGCTGTGGAACTGATGAAGGCTGAAAAGGCAAAATAGGTCAGCGGTGCATCATCAGGTTTAGTAGCTGACATATATCTGCACAGAACTGTATTGGTACGAATAATGAGTCAGCACAGTGAAGTAGACAGCTGACACTGTGATCGGTGGCCACAGATTAAAGACATATCAGATCTACAGACACATAACATATAACATCCAACTGTTGTAACCAAACCAGCAAGAGGCCAGTGAAGTGTGGTGCAGAGAAAGCCTCAGTTGGTCAAACGAGATATATAAACTCTGTTATAAAGGAACTGATATTTCATTAATTAAATGAGATCTTACCAGTGGTAGCAAATACAGCTGAGCTTCAAAGAGAAAGAAAACAGTCAAACAGACAAGTACAGAAGTGGTTTCTGACATTTATAAAGGAAAGGCGGCTGACCTCAAAAGAGGAAATGAAGACGTGCTGCTAAACCTCAAAAGTGAAGAAAAAAAAACACGAAAACATCCTCAACCCCATTTACTGTGGAAGCTGGTGCTATTATTGAAGGCATCAATGACACGACCTGGCATGACAACGGGTACAAATTCTAAAAAAGGAGACACACTAAACACAGAATGGACGCAGAAAGGCGAGGAGGTTCTTACAAGGTTTTCCAGAATTTGGCAAACTTGTTTGTTTTTTTCCAGCAGTGATAGAAGAACTAGTCTGATCATTTACTTTAAGGTCCAGTGTGTATGTTTTTATTAGTGTATAATCAGCTGAAAATAAGAAGGAGCTGATTTTATCTATGTTTATGTTGAACCACCATGTTTGTACAGTAGCCCAGAACAGACAAACCAAACACTGGTTCTAGATAGGAGTCTGCAGCAACCGTAGTGTCTCCTACACACTTGGAAGGTGAGTGGTATTCAGTTGGTCGCAGTCTGCAACTTCTAGATGCTGGATGCCAATAAATCCTACACACCGATCCTTTAAAGCATACCTACACTCTTCAATTCAGCTACCTCCCTCACTCTCAGCAAATTAAAAAAATTATCCATTTAGTTCTATAACTTTGTCTATCAGTGGAAGTCTCTGTGTATGTGTCTATGTGATGTCTTCATCTGGGTCATTTCTTTGCAGTGGGAAGTGGCTTTTTTGGTTTCATGCACCACTGAGCAGCTTTTATAGGAATGAATGGAGTAGTAGTCAAGTTAGCAACCGTTAAAGGAGTAAAAAGTGCATTATATTCTTAAATAAAATGGATTACAAATGTAATGTACTTGAGTAAACTTAAGAGATCCTTCAGCTAACACGACATGAACATTAAACCTCACTGACTCACTATCAAATATACAAGGTTTAATTTGGTATTTGGTGCAATGTGAATATCAAATAGCTTCAAAAAGAACAAGTTGATACAGGTCTGAAACAGTCAGGGGGCATTTTTCCAACTTTGAATTACGTTAAGGGGTGAAATAAAATAATAGAATTATAGAGAAAGAGTCGTTTGTGAGAGCAGAATATAATTATTAGAATTCAAGACTCCTATGACGCATGTATTTCATGCTGTTTGTCATTTGAGGCGACATTTCTCTGAATTTCTTTCTTCTAGAGACCATGTTTGTCAGTTTCAGAGGGTAAACAATCTGATAAGACTGCTGCACAAGCATGCAAGAAGTTCTTAGTGCAGGTGCACTAAATGAAATTGATTCACACTAGGGGAAAAAAAGTTTGTTATATAATATATAATAATGTTCATTAGCTGTTAATTGGGAAGTTGCATCAGTGTTCTGTTCAGTGTGCAGAAGCACTGACAGTACAGTGACAAGTACACCTGATGTGCTGCTGCGACTGGATTTGCCTTTTTGTAAAGACGACAGAAAACATAGAAAAGTTTGACAATGAAAACAGACACATTAATGAAAAATGGACGGATGAATTTGCCCTTTTTTTGCCACCTCAGGGTTGCTAATATCAGGCGCCATGCAGAGTCAAAACATGTTAGGTCTTTATCTTTAAAACGTAGCACACTGTGGTGGTGTGGTGGTAAGGATAAGGATAATGGGGTGGCCAATCAGATTTCAGGTGCCCCCCTCTGAACGTGCCCCTTCATGGCATAGTGCAACTGGTCACTATAAGATCAGCACATAAGTCTTAAAAAAAAAAAATAGTAAAATGTTTAGCTGTTTTTGTTTTATGGTGATCATGTACCAACAATCAATGAGTTCCTACAGGTAACTGGTGCTGGTTGCTCCACTTGTTGTCAGTTCCACTTCACTTCCTGTCAACCGGAGGCTTATTCCCATGAAGAGCTGAGCACATGAAAGATTTCATCCCAACAAACGTAAAGATTTCAATGAATGCCAATTTATTGAAAGGATAGGATCACCCCTTGAGATGCAGTATTTCATTTTCGAGCGGGTCCTAATCCAGATAGCTGGGAAGACACTGGCTCACTGTTGTTGCTGTTCTTACATTAAATGGACATTTGTTAACATGAAGCAGATGTTTAAAAATGACACAACTCAGAAACCCTGACACATCCGTCAACAACACTGCGCTGGGAATGCTGAGAGGAAGTGCATCAAAATACCACAGTCACAACCATTTGGACTCCAAGGCCGCTCCATCTGCAGCAACCACAAACCTCCAACCACTGTGAGAACAAGATTAATCCAACCCCTCATATGCAAGCATTATGTGGTGATAATCTGATTAAACATTACAGTAACAATTTGTAAGCAGTTCACCTTTCACACTGTGACAATGACCTACAAGTAAACAGATTTACAGCTAAATATATTCAAGTATCACAAGTAAAATTAAGGCTTATTGAATAGAAAATCTGAAAATCTACAAATTCTGAGATGCTGATGAAATGTCATTGTTTCCAGACACACTGACCTAAAACAGTCTGAAACAACACAGCAGCTTCAGTCTTTGTAGTGGTAGAAAGAAGGAATAACCTCAGCCCAATAAAGACTTCCTGTACTTAACTATTTTAACATTCACACAGCGACAAAAAGCCAGAAGGTGTCAGGTTAACACTGGCCTGAATTTAGAAGTTCTAACATGTTAAAATATAGTCATCTAAATTATATTGTAACAAACAAGATGACTTTTGGCCTCCAAATCACCAAATTAGTGCTTATGGGGTCATGATGTCTATTCACAACCTGAAGCGTTAGCATGTTATATTTTGTTTAGATACATCTTGCAGAATTATTTTGGACATTTGGTTATTATTATGGCCATTAGATGCTCAGGGTTGTATATGTGTAGGGGTAGTAGAGGGAGCACATACATACATCTCTTTGTACAACTACCTCAGTTCAGTCAGACGACTCATGTTTGAAATGTTTATTAAAGTGGTATAGCATATTTAGATTTTGGCGTCTAGGCTCCAACCTCATGGGCAAATACCTTAACCCCTAGCGGAGCCTACAGGTGGATTCTGAGGTGGTGGTGGGGCTTACAGAGCAGCAGCAGCAATATGGATGCAGGGCA